CTCTCCCCACCATTGTCCGTGTCCTTGGGTTGTGCATATATGCATATAAATTCTTTGGTTACTCTCTCCCCCTCCACCCCCCTAAAACACATTTTCTAAAAAGTCCCTGGCACCACTTGAAATTGTAGTTCTCACATCTTTGAACATTTTAAGACAAGGCTGCTTCCTCCACCCCAGTGCAACTTCTGTGTGGCAGGTGGGGGGTATCCAAATCTTAAGGAAAGGGGGTGGTTGGAAAAGTTCCACAGATGATTCTAAAATATCTCCAAGACCACTCACGCCCCCAGCATCCACCACCCTCCTTCCTCTCCCTTAGAAGAGAAGGGTTGATGCAGTAAAACAATCTAAGAAAGAGATGAGGTCATTTTTTATTACATTTCACTCATGTCATTATTATTAATAATTACTAGATGTGCTTATTAGCATAGAGATTTCATGTCATGTTTGGGTATATATGTATCATTTAACGTGGGCCCAAGTCACAACCAAGGTCTAACCCAAGTTAGTAACACATGGAATAGTTTTGCAGAATGGAGCTTTGTCAAGATCCAGAGTTTCCTCCAATGTCAATGGGATTAATTTTTCTAGTTTTTAAACAGTAAGCCTCCTTATGTGGAAACTTTAATGGAAAAGATTGAATTTGGAAGATGAAAAGTTAAGCTGAACAGTTTAGAATCAATTAGGAGAGGATTTATTAAATGAGGGAAAATGTACTTTCTATTTCAAAAAAGTAGAGAAGCAAATTTTGCTCGGCAAAGTAACACAAAAGGGCTTTGGTTTTTTCATGAATCAGGCCTCTGGTGACTGTGTTCAACTGTGCTTTTTAAGTGCATACAAATAATTTTGATCAACGTGGTTGTTGTTTCATAGCTTTGATGTGTAGTATCTCTTTATAGGATGCAATTTTGAGCCACAGTCTGCACCTTACTCTCAATTAGGCAAGTATACCTATTGTAATTGTCAACTTCTACTTACGTGATTGGTATGCTCAATTTCCTTCATGAAATAAATGGCAGTAGCTTATTTTATGTCAATAAAATTGTCTGTCATTCAGATCCCATTATAACAGCTTGTCAGATACTTAGGAAAAAATGGAAAAGATATCTGTATTTTAATTTTATACCTCAAAGAAGATTTCCTTTTCTGACCAGTTTTCTTGTACATCAATGCAAAGCACTCTCTATGAGCGCTGAGTGTGGGTAACGGTACAGTCAGACCAACTGTTGTAGTGTTTGTAGAGTTTTAAATTGAGCCCTTTTTTTGATATTAGCCTATCAAAAGAACCATGTTTTCTTATCAATGTCAATTTTGCTTCCTGTTTCTCTCCCATGCCTCTCACTCGGAATGACAACAGTTGACATTAAAAAGCTGTTGGCAGGTATGAAATAACCTTATTCTCTTACAAATAGCAAAGCCCACAGTGCACGTGAGGTGACTCACAGGTTCCGTTAGTCAGCAATGACTTCTGTCCAGGGTGTTATCGGTAGGCGGCACCTAGAACTCAGGGGAAACCAATGTGTACAAAGACATCAATCTATCTGCACCTCATGTCCAAAATGCCTACTGCTCCAGCAAAATATTTTACACGTTAGTGTTTGGAATGACATGCAAACTGCGTGTTTAAGCTATGAAGGGAGCAACCCGTCTTGTGTCCAAGCCACAAGCACTCATGAACATCTGTTTATGTCACTGATAGTTTCTTAGCTTCTCTGAGCTTTCACTAGCGCTGAGGACATTTTCAAAACAACTAGGCTGGAGCTCTTCTGCAGAAGGACTATTCCTGGTTCCCCAGTGTGTGTCATCCCTCCTCCATCTGGGCCTCTAGATCCCAGCCTCCCCGCCCCAGGGTTACACAGGCATCTTAGCGCATCCCTCTCACTTTATGTCTCTGGTGTACTGTCTGCCAGTCACCGGGTGAAGGGACTCGCACCTTCCAAATCGATGCCACTCCACTCCCGGATCGCCTGGTTGGGAGTGCAGTCTGAGCCAGGTCACCCCTGCTGAATCGGCGCGTGTCCTCCATCTGCTGCTGGGCACAGAGGGTGCCACCTCCCAGGATGTGGCCCCAGCCCCTCTGGCCCTGGACGCCTCCCTCCTGCATGGCAGCATGGAAACGGGACACAACGCCCCCAGCCACCCAGGAGTCTGTTATGCTGTTGGGTTCATTGGGCCCGTCTTATTAACCTCACTCCCTTCTGTTGTTCCCAGTGGCCTGGTTTGCTTTTGACCCTGGCTCAGCGCACTCGGACATCATCTTCTCCAATGACAACCTGACCGTGACCTGCAGTAGCTACGATGACCGGGTGGTGCTGGGGAAGACCGGCTTCTCCAAGGGTGTCCACTACTGGGAGCTAACTGTGGATCGCTATGACAACCACCCCGACCCTGCCTTTGGCGTGGCTCGCATCGACGTGATGAAGGATGTGATGTTAGGAAAGGACGACAAAGCTTGGGCAATGTATGTGGACAATAACCGGAGCTGGTTCATGCACAACAACTCGCACACCAACAGGTACCCTGCAGCCCCCAAACCAAGCCTTCTTCACGTTGGCTTCTGGTCAAGAATGAGAGCCCAGCTTCAAAGACCTGTTAAACAGACATTAAGGAGGCGGGCAGGCGGTCTTCCTTAAGTAGCACAGGAGTTCTACTAGTCTTAACTGAGAACATCCTGGTGGGTATTTTTTGTTTGGTTGGTTGGTTTTTTGCATAATGGCAGAGACATGAGCTCCTTCTTAGGTCCTGCCTTGTAACATTCCACCCATGTCTGAAACTAAGAATTCCCGTGCATATCCATTATAGGAAAACATTTCAGGATTCTGAAGTCTAGTCCTACAACTTAACAGAAAAGCAGTTTTGGACAAGCTATTTAGTTTTTCTAAACCTCAATTTTTAAATCCACCAAACTAGGATATTAATATTTTTTCATGCAGGAGTGTTTCCCAGATGAAACAGAATATGCAGAAATGCTTCGTGTCAGAAGCACCTGAAAATAGAAGCCATTGTTCTTATTCTGGTTATTACCAATGTCATTGCTCAGAATAGAGGCCACTTAAACCTGTGGATGCCAATTTGGATAGCTTGGTACTTGAAGAACCCTCTTATAATTGTACTGATTCAGAGCAGCCAGCGTTCAGGGGAAAGAGAACATAGTAATCTCCTTAGGTTTTCCTCTGCCACCAAAATGTAAGCAGTTGTCATTTAACCCATACTGTAGTAGTTTCTCTAGACTTCCCTTTTCATTTGGTTTGTGTTTTGTTCACAGATCTCCTAGATAAGTGTCTTTCATAGACCCTGGCCCTCCTCATTCTGAATGATACCCTCAGGATACATTCTCTCTGGTGTCACTGAAAAAAAAAATCAGATTAAAAGGAAAGTGAGTCAGGCATGGTAGGAGGCTGAGGTTCACTGCGTCAGCCTTTTCTACGTGCTCATCACTGCCCCTCCTCCAGCCAGTAGGTGTCCCAGGGCCTCCACCTCCCGGTGCCTTGGACCTTTCCTTCCACTTCGCACTGGTGTGTCACTGACTCCTTCTCTGAGTGAGCGTGCACACCGTTTCTGCCCCATATCAAACCCTACTAGACGCAGCTAAGCGGTTATCTTCAGTGATCTACATTTTGGGGGAACCCTCTGTACCTGGATCTCTGGGTCCACCTCCCATGTGCCAGGCTTACATTTCCCTTTTAGCTCCTTTATTTTGGAGTGAAGGGGTGAAAATTACACAACTGTCACACTATGCAGAGAAACACATTCTTAAAGCTGAACACGCCTCCCTGCATGCAAGCTCGTGTCACTTGTGCTGTCATTGTTGAAGGTGCGAATTAACAAGACACAATTTACAAACCTGCCAGAGGGAAAGAAGAGCACTCTTAAATGTCTCTGCTCTGCTGGGATGAGTATGAAATTCAGTCCTGCTAGATCTCAAAGACGGGGGAGGGCCAGGCTGGTCACCCACCCTGACCGGCTTTGGGGAAATCGTCAATGGAAGCCTAAGACACAATTCACTGTAAAATGACACTTGAGTGCCGATTCTTTAAAATCACTTCATCCCTACAGTACAATTACTTCACAGGGGAGAATCTCTTTCTTCGATGTTGTGATTTTATAGAGCCTCCAACTTCTCAATTCAGACTCAACATGTCAAAAATTACCATCTTCCTGGAATGAGTGTTTCTGTTTAATGGGTAACCTAAGGCCCCAAGTCCAATTTGTCATGCATACGTTTAAGTTCTGCTTAAATTCTTCATTTTGATTTTAAAATTAAATCACTTTCGATTAAACAATGTTTGATTCACACCCTTTGTGCAAAGTGTACTACATAGCTCTGGGCAGACCTCTGACAGCCCAGAGGCCACTTTCTTTCTTGGCCTTTAATGCTTTGTTCTCTGAGCCATCTCGGGCCACGACCCTGTGTGAATGAGCTGACTCAGCAGCAGCAGAGCAGCGTGGCTGAACCCATTCTCAACACAGGCGATACCTCCCCCAGAGGAGTGCAAATTGGTTTGGAGGAGTAGGCAAAACAATTTATTCTATTAATATATAAAGCACAGATATGCACACACATAAACCGATACACAGTGTATCTGTGGTATTAAAATTTCATGTGAGGAGGTGCGATTAGGGAGGAGGGGCCTGTTTTAAAAGACTCCTGGGATTGAGGAGAGTCTACTTTTAAACAAGCTGAGAAACACTTAGTTAACCACACAAATGGGGAGCTCCTAGAATGATGACCCGCAAGTGAAACCCAATTGTTTTTTGTTGTTGTTGTTTTCACAGAACTGAGGGAGGGATCACAAAAGGGGCCACGATCGGGGTCCTCCTCGACTTAAATAGAAAAACCTTGACCTTTTTTATCAACGACGAGCAGCAAGGGCCCATCGCGTTTGAGAGTGTGGAGGGCCTGTTCTTCCCGGCCGTCAGCCTGAACAGGAACGTGCAGGTGAGCACCGGGCGCTGGGGAAGCGGCTTCTGCTGGCTCTGCTTCGGAGGCTGCCCCTGGGGGGAAATCCATCCCCCAGAGAGGGAGGCTGACCCTGTCAGGCCCAGCCCAAGACCGGCAGGAAAGCAGGAGGCAAACGCATCACCTATGACAACTGGTTTCCCAACCAGCCTAAGCTCCTTCGTTATACTTGGACACAGTCTAGTTAACAGCTGGCGGGAAACTGGAACTCTATTCATGGTTTGCTAATGATTGTCCCTCTGAGCCTTGGTTTCATCTCTAGCAGAAATGAAACTCTTGAAGCAGCTGGCGTGAAAACAGGTGCCTTGTGCAGTTCCTTGAATGCCTGAGAAGGGAAGGTGTGAGACTGAAGTATTAGCTCCATTATCAAAAATGCTGAGCATCTTCTCTGCACCCTGATTCAATTCTATGGGGATAGAAAACAGCCCCTGCCCAAAAGTTGGTTACTTCTGATTTATTATGAATAGAGAAACAACAGGTCTTTCTCATTCACTCATTAAACAAATATATATTGAGTGCTTTTAATACATGAAGCACTAATATAAGTATCATTTATAAGAGAAAACAAAACAGATAAAAATCTTGGCCTCATAGAGCTCACATTCTGGTTGTAGGAGACAGACAACAAATAAGCGCAACTGCCACATTAATTACATAGTGTGTTAGAAGGCAGTAAGTGAGGAGGAAAGACCGAGGCTAGGGTAAGGGGATGGAGAGCGCTGGGGTTGGGGCGGTGTTGCAATCTTCAACAGGCTGGTCAGTGTGGGTAGGCATGGTTGCAGTCCCAGGTGAGCTGAGCCCTGAAGGGGCCGAGGGAGCGAGCTGAGTGGAGCTTTCCAGGCAGAGGGAACAGCCAGAGCAAAGCTTCTAAGGCATGAGGGGCCTCACCCAGGCAAGGAAGGGCCAAGAGGCCACGGGCAGGAGCAGATGGGGTTGGGGGCAGTGGGAGAGACTCCCAGGGCCATGCAGGGAGGGGTGTGCCTTGCCAGCCACTGCTAAGGCTTGGCTTTCATTTCCCTCTTGAGCAGGAACTCTCATTGTGAGCCATGAATCTCACTTGGCAAATGGCTGCCTTAAGATAGTTAGGGCTTGCCCGGCCGGGCGTGGCTCAGCGGTTCAGCATCAACCTAGGATCCAGGAGATCGAGACTCGATTCCCGGGGTCAGGGCACATGCCCGGGTCGCAGGCTCAATCCCTGGCCGGGGGTGTGCAGGAGGCAGCCAATCAATGATGACTGTCTCATCATTGATGTTTCTATCTCTCTCCCTCTTCTTTCCTCTCTCTGAAATCAATAAAGATATGTTTTTTAAAAAATAGGGCTTGAGAATCAAAACACCGCAGGTGATTTTTGCTCTATTCAGAACCACAGTCTTAGGAGCTAGTAAGAAACCCATTGTTGTTTATCAGGATGTACAGTAAAAGTAATGGCAACCCAGAGACCTCTGCCCTCCTCTCTTCCTGCAACTAGTTGCGGTTTTCTGAGAGGTTGAGATCTAATCTACCAAGTTCAGCCTCTACACTGGAAGAAAGAAAACCATAAAGTGCCCTAGAAGTGAGCCTTGGAAAACCTCATTCAAAGTTTTCCACATTTTTTAGCTGCTCTATCTTTAGATAAAGACTCTTGGGCTGGAGAGACGGCAGCACGGCATGAAATGGTTCTAGCCTTGTCCACTGAGGTATGAGGTTGGACAGAAGTTAGTGAAATAGCGTAAGTGCCCACGTTCCCTCACACCTGGCAATCATCTATGCAGTCCCCAAAGGAAAGCTTTATCCTAATTGGAATAACTGGTGGACAAGTAATACAGGAAGGTTGTCTGCTCATCTGTTTTCTGACCGTGGATTTGACAGTGGCATCACCACAATGTGGCCAATGGGCTTTGCTACCTGCAGATCAATGCCTGGTCCTCAGTCACAAGGAACACTATCTCCCCAGAATCTTTTTTTTTTTTTTTAATATATCTTTATTGATTTCAGAGAGAGGAAAGGAGATGGAGAGACAGATACAGAAACATCATTTATGAGAGTCATTGATTGGCTGTGGCCCGCAACCCGGGCATGTGCCCTGACTGGGAATCGAACCCTGATCACCTGGATCCTAGGTCGATGCTCAACCGCTGAGCCACGCCCGGCCGGGCTCCCCAGAATCTTAAAATGAGAACCATGTTATCAAGTGTCTCCAGGATTTGGGAGCCCACCACAATGGCCGGATTCTTAGCCCAGGCAGGATTCTACTAGAATTCTCTTCAATGTGTTCTAGAATAGATGTTAAAGAAGAGTAAACATCCCTTTTGAATTAGGGGAAGAGGTTGCAGGGGTGGGGAGGGCTCCTGCAGGGCCTCCAGGACTCATAGTCTCTTCCCCCAGGTCACACTTCACACCGGGCTCCCAGTCCCCGACTTCTACTCCAGCAGAGCCTCGATAGCCTAAGGATGTGCTGTGGAGGCGCCAGCTGCCTGTTCTCGCCTCCTCCTGAGAAGCAACGGCAAGGAGCCCGGCCAGAGTTTGGGGGGATGCCGGAGAGCTAGAGGAGACGCAGACGGAGGAGAGGAAAGCTGGTGCTCTATGGTCTGCCCCCAGCTCGGCCCCTTTCCCTCCCAACCTCTCTACCGCTGTGATGCCTGCGTTCGCTTCCATGTTCAGCAATTCCAGCCAGCAAAGGACCCAGACAGCCCATCCTGTCACTTCGTTTCCACTCTCAGATTTTGCTTTTAGTTAATTTTTGTGTGAATTATATTTTGTTTCCTTCCTGATCATGTTATTGGTGGCATACGGACCTGGCACTGCCAAGAGAAAATTCTCCTGATCACTTGTTTGTTAAGCTTTCCGTCAGAGGTTGTAGGGAGAGGTAGGGAAGAAAGAGCTGGATTTGGAGCCTGCAGTTTACCTCCTAGAATGTTCTTGCCCTGTTACCTCTCATGCAGCGTTAGCTCTGCCGAGCTAATCCTTGGGGGGTGGACAGAGTGAACATAGCATTGCAAAGTTTTACTATCCACTGAAGCACAAAAATATCAGCTACACAGCTATCCAAGGGTTCACAGTGGGCAGAATCGTTAGGACAGCCGGGTCGTTAGGACAGGCTAGAAACCCTGGTCACTGAATGAAATGAGAAAGTCTCCAGACATCAGCAGGCCAGGGGACCTAATCATTTGATTCATTTACTTCATACAAGCTTTTCCTTGAGAGCCTGTTATGGACCAGGCACTATTCTAGACACTGGAGACACGGTAGTGAACATACAGGTGTGGCCTCTGCCCTCCCAGAGCTTATATTCTCTCGTGAGGACAAACCAAAAATAAAACAATGGCAAATTTTTATAACTAGACAGGAAATAAACAAGGGAGAGAGGGCCTCATTGGCAAGCTGTTTTAAATCCTCTAGAATGATGCTACAACTCCATATATTCTGGCCATGGCCCCAGAAACACACCAACTCAATGCCTTTCAGCCACGCTGTTTTAATTGCGGTACCTGCTGCCATTCATCACAGAGCCCTTCTTTGGTAGAAATGGGGTCAGCATCCTTATTTGTCAGTGCTGCTGTGATACCAAGCCTTAAAAAGGAATGTGGAAAAAAATTAGTGGCCAGAGGGAGGTGGCGCCACCCTCAGTCACGGGGGGTCTTAAGTTGCAGGCCGTGGCTTTCACCTTCTCAGGATAAACACGCTCGTCCCCGTGTTCTCTCCGTGCCTGCTACAGACGAAAAGTCCATCCACTCGGCTGCCATTCACGGCCTGGCCTTCTGGAGCAGTTCAAGTCATGTTTGGAAGAGAATGGAATTGTATGTCATTGCCGTCAGTGACAGCAGAATAAAGATGTTTATTTTATATAGAGATAGGTTTTCATGCAGGTTACCCTTCAGATTCTTTAGAAAATGTAGGACCTGGAAAGACATTCTGATCAGTGGTCTAAATATCTGCCAGTGAGCCAAGAAATCTTCCATGAACAAAAAAACAAGAATAACAAATAAAAGGGAAGAGGTAGGATGCGAAAGCTAACAAATTAAAGCTTTGACAAAAGGTAATATATGTAAATAGCTAATTATTTAGTTTTGGGCTTACTTGATTTAGATTAGTTCTATCTAAATTAGTTCTATCAGTTACAGTTTTTCTAGTTGCGTGTACCTAAGTTATTGAATGGGTGCTATCCTGTTTCTGCCCATCCTGGTTTCTCTTGGCTACAGAAAAACTCTGTTGCAGGGCAACACTAGTTTGATATTTGATTTACTCTGCAATGAGACTCGATGGCTGGGCCGCTGTGGACTCATAGTTACCCTTGGTCTTTATGAAATTCATCTTGCTGATTAGATTTCTAGTGACCTGTAACATAGTAGATTACACAGAATTGCAATCATAGATGCATACAGCTACTGTACTAGAAAAAAAATGATATTCCTGGTGTGCCAATAAATGACTTTTATGAGAGAACATGACATGTGTCTTTAGAATATCTTATTTTTTGCCGATTTGGGAATAACAACTAGCCTTTGTCAGAGCAGCATTTCTTCAGTAAAGTATAATTGGAAAGTTCCCCAGAGCTCTAGAAAACACGTGCTATTCACCCCCTTTCCTCCTGGGGAGCTGCCACTGTCTCCTGGGGGTACTCGACTCCTCAATGTTAACTTAGTGTGAAACTTGCATAGTTTAGATGCGGGTGGGCTCTGCCTCCAACTGCTGGGAACTTGCTTTAACAAACCTGCTCCCAGAGAAGCCGCAAACTTGTGCTGCAAAATATAGTGTTGCTGATTTTCTCAAACCTCATTCCTTCAGCATTTCTTTGAATGTCTGTATGGCTAAACCATGCGATTGTTTTTTGTACATTTGTATGGTTAAACAATACGAGTGTTTTTAAATAATTACAACATTATTGATCTCCTTTACATTGTTAACAGCCTCTTAAAATAAACAGCCTTTGTTTTCTATTAAAAGAAAAACATTCCTAAAAAAAAGAAGGAAAAACATCACCTGAAAGTGTACGATCAAGGTTATCTCCAGGTGGGGCATCAGGCAGTGGGTGGCCTCTGCTCCTCTGCCCCCACCCAGGCTTCTTCTCCTTCCTCCCTCCTCATCGCCGCCTCCCCCAAGCTTTTTTCTTCTTCCTCTATTGTCCCCACCTCTCTTCTGATTTTTTCTCTCTTCTGTTCACTCCCTAAAGGAACACACTGGCTCTTTTTTACTCTTCTTATGGTACTAAGGTTGATGGAACTTCTGATTCCTGGTATTTTCTCATAGGAGTGATTTGCAAGAAATCATCCCATCTTCTGGAAATGAGATCCTGTTTTCCTGCCTCTAATGTGTGCGTTAATCTTTTGCCCACCTACTCAATGTGCTGATAAGAAAGGAGGGCCTGCTGTTGAATCAGGATTTCTGATTATGAATGAAGGGAACTACAGCAATTAAATAAATTCTCAGATCACACTACCTTATCATTTATATGAATATGCTAAAGGCACCTGCATATATTCTTCAAATATCTGTGCCAGCAACTTCCACTGAGACTGGTGTTTAGGGAACCTTAGGTCTGACATGCATCACACATCACCAAGGCTACCTAAGTCTTGTCTTTATCTGAAGGCCAGCTTTTTGGATACAGGATGTGGGGTATTGAATAGGTGTGAGCAACGGAAGCACCTAATTAAATACACAGGAGCATCAGTCTGGTCCTTTGAATTCAGCATCTGCTCCACTCTGCACAGCTGTGCTAAGAAAAGGTGCAGGCATAGAATTAGATATCACAGAATCAGAAAGTGGGGGTGGGTGCCTAACCTTGTGAATATAGTAAAAATCACTGAAGTGTACACTTTGAAAGAGTGAAGGGCCATGTTGGACATGACCAGGACTCTCCTTGCAGCCACCCTCACACCACACCTAACAGTCTGTTCCTATTTTACCAAACCCGTCCTCTGAGGCAAAGCCCAAAGCAGAGGGGGAGGGGTGTCAAGGACCTGGCAGCTGACCCCTTGACCCTCCCTCTCCCTCCCACCTTCCCGCAGTCCATGGCAGGGCTCCGGCTTACTCCCTCTTTCCTCCCGGTGAAGTCATCTCCACCTTCCTAACAGGGTCTTGAACCTGCCCCTTTCCTGAGGGCCGTGGTGGAGAGAGTGAAAAACCTGGCTACCATGAAGGAAGCAATTCGAAATACCTCTTTCCTACTCCCTGCGGCTATGAATCTTGTTCACAGATTTTCCCTTCTCCCACCAGGTAAAAATAAACGTACCATGAAATCTAAAAGGGTTCATATTGTGGCTGATGCTCTTGCCTTCTCCCCCCAAAATTTTTTCTGAAGTTCTCTAATAGTTAAGATAATGAAGATAATTTCATTAAGAAGCATGACTGAATGTCAAATTTTAATTACCTGTTTATCAACTTACAAACCATATTTTGATGCATGACCATGATTTTTAATGTGTTTGATGAAGAAAACCATAAAGCTAGAGAAGTCACCTTGAAGAGAGGAGCTTCATGAAGGTATAAACCAGGACTTCTCAACTGTGGCTAAAACTCCCTGATAAGGGCAATATGTTCAACCATGCATTTATATGTGTTCTGCACAAAGAAAGGGACTCAGAGTGAGATACAGCATGCACAATAAAGATGAAGGACATGTTAATACAAGTACTAAGTATTGTAACCTCTGCGCTTTGCATATCAGACAAGCCTGGGAGCATAGTAAATACTACAGTGGCCAAGGGCACAGTTTCTGCCAGTGACTGAATCCTGGTCCTGGCCCCCTGTGCGCCCTGGACCAAGTGACGAAAACTCACATACAGTTTCCACATCCCTAAAGCAGAGAGAATAATATAATTTTGGGGGGGTTAAATCAAACAATATGTGTAAAACATTCTGAAGAGTACCTGGCCCATAATGAGCGCTATGGTGTTTTATTTGCATATAATCTCTTAACGGTCCCACGGCTCCATCCCCTCCCTTTTTTATTATTAAGATCCATTTGAGTGTCAATAATGATTCTCACAATCATCTTCTTGGGTGACAATGTCTATTTTTGGGACCTGACAAAATGTTTGTTAAATTCTTCTGCAAAAATTAGTGAAAGAATGTAGGCAAGGAAATTCTGAGAAAAGGTAGTAACCCGACTTGTAGGACACATTAAAACCTATTTCAAAGCCACAGTAATGAAAATGGTGTAGTATTACTAAAATCAGCTACAAGATAACTCAGAAATAGAGATTTCAGTAGATGGTGAATAGAGAATCACAAGGGAGGAAATGAAAATTGTTCAAAAATGTTGAAAAATATTATTTAAAAATTGGTTAACTATTTGGAAAGCAAAACTATATCCTTAATCGTATCATTTTTCAGATGTTAAGGTGTTAAACATAAAATATTTTAAACTTTAACAAATCAGAAGAGAATGCTAATATGCATCTGATCTTTCTCAAGGAGGCTTAAGTCACTGTAAATTATGCAACTGGCTTATCAGTTTTCTAAGACTCCTCTGCAACTTATATTTTACACTGTAAACTCTTCTTTGTTCTCCTTCCTGTATATCATAGCTACCTGTTTTCTTCTTCAGCTAACCAGGCCCATCTTTTTCCTGTCTAAACCCACATCTAGCACCATAGATTTATTAAATGTATTGATTTATTGTTATACTCCCTTTTAACTAACTACCTTTAAGGAAAGATTGAGGTATTAAATATGAACTACTCTGCACTCTGTTTCCAGACTGTATTTTCAGCCTAATGGTTAACGAGTTTATAAGGAACAAGTCCTCTGAGGTAAATGAGGATCCTCATGTTTCCTTCTGCAGCGCTGACCCCCACGTGTGACCTATGAGAAGAAGACTCCACTCAATATATTTCCCTAACTGCCTGGTGGGCTGCGTGGCTACAGGTACGCAGAGTAAGTCTCCAGTCTCATGGCTCGGGCAGGCTTAAAATGATGAGCGGGCGAAGGTTAATTGCAGCTTCGCAAGAGGTTGGTTTCATGGTTGGCAATACCACAGGCTTTGCGGAATATGCGAACCTTAACCATCTAGGTAGAGCGATGCACTCAGGCTTGATACTTATACCTGCAGAAAAAATTACAAATACCTGTCAGAAAGAAACCCAACTTAGAAGAAACTTCTGAGGATCAGACAAAACTTCATGCCACTCTTCCGTGTCTTCAACATTTCAACTAAGACCTAAGGCCAAGAATTAAAAAGTAGTGCAGTTACCATCTACAATACATACACTGTGCGAGCTCGCTGTCCCCCACCGAGCCGAGGGGACACTTGGTATTAAGAGGATCTGAGCATCTGCTCTCCATGCCTTGGGAATGGACAGAGTCTCCGTGGACCAGATGAAGCACTGAGGGCCGGCCCAGGGGCAATGGGGGTGTCAAGTCAGGGCCTCAAGGAAACAGTAGAGAGTAAGGCACAGGGGAAGACTCAGTAGCAATGATGTCCAGATGCATTTGACACATGCTTCCTTTCCTTTAGGGGCCCCAGGTCTCAGGTTTCATCCTGAAGCCTCTTTCTGGCAAAAGTTTGGCAGTAACTAAAGGAAACTCAGTAATCACTGGGGCACGTTCCTAGTTGAAACTTTCAAAAACACTGTAAAAGAGGACAACTAAGGAATATCATTCTTCCACAGAATGGGTCTGCCCAATACAATATTTTTCATGTTCTGAATCTAGATTAATAATAACCATAACAATATTACCCTATTTTCTTATTTCATAGATGCAAGAATTGTTTTGTGGGGTTTTTTAAATCCTCACCCCAGGATACTTTTATTGATTTCAGAGAGAGAGGGAGGGAGACAGAGAAAGAGAAAAACATCCATTGGTTGCCTCCAGTATGCACCCAAACTGGGGATCGAACCCACAACCCAGGTATATGCCCTGACTCGAAATCAAACCCGCAACCCTTTTGGTTTACGGGACCGTGCTCAACAAAGTGAGCCACTGGGCTGGGCTATTTTGTGTTTTAATTTTTGATTTTCACACTTTAATATCTCTGCAATGAAGATACATCTTACATGTGTCAAAAGAAACTCATCAGCTACTAGCAAAGTGATGGTTCTCAGTCCCCACTGCATATTGAAATCATCTGGAGAACTTTATAAATACTTAATTTGTCACAAACTGGAGGTAATAATACCTACAGGATGGGGTGATTATGAGGATTAAGTTAGAAAAGATGTGAAGTGCCTGACGCAGCACCTCATTGGGATTACTCTTAATTAAGCTCCTGTTGATCTTTGCAATGGAAAGTGGTCAGCATATAATTAAATACACATTGCTGGAATGTTTGCAGAGTGGAAGTGGAAGGTGAAAAGATTTACCAAAGATTTTGGCCTTGAATAACTTAAAAAATTTACGTCCCTTGAGTACAGTTCACACCAGTGTTTCTTAGGGCAAGTAATAGTCATTGCTACTGTTACTTTAGGGCTCACAATGTGCCATGTGCTATTCTAAATACT